CTGTAAACCGCTTAGAGAGGGCTGAAAGCCCTATGAAGCGGTATATAAGACTAACTGCTATTGCTATTGCTATTCAGCAGGAAAGTAGACACTTTTTTTCCCTTTGAAGGCATTTCACTTCTCATCCAAGAAGCTCCTCCAGCTCTAACAGGATAGTGGGGACTGGAAGGATCTGACTATCCTCTCAGAGCTGAAGAAGCTTCTTGGATGAGAAGCGAAACGTCTTCAAAGGGGGGGAAAAACCAAGAAATTCCAGTTGCCTCTTGAAAAAAGGGACAAGAATGACCTGGATGGCTTGAGAATCTCCCTAGACATGAAACTCCATGGTGTCTCTTCTTCTCTTCTGCAGGTTGCTTGGCCGAGCCCCAAGGAAGAGCCTCAATCCAGATGTGAGAAGGCTGGATTAATCTGCCGCTGGAACTGGGGGCCAGTTCTCTCTCTCCCCTTTCTCCTGTTATGTCCAAGATCTGCTCTTTGCCTGGGAATTGCGTTGAGTTCCAAAGGACCAGGGGACTAGGATGAGGAGGAGCAATAGATATTCCTTGAACCTGCTTTGGTTGTTGCCACCATTCCTGGCGTGGACCGTGGTGGCCCTCGACTTGCGACCGTCGCCGTGCACCACTTTGGTCCAGGGCAAGTTTTTCGGGTACTTCTCCTCTTTCGCCGTCTTCCCGTTGAATGCTTCCCACTGCAATTGGATTATCCAGAACCCCGACCCTCGGAGGTACACCTTGTACCTGAAGGTCTTGAAGCCCTCGGGTCTCTGCGACCGCCAGCAGGTACGCACCTACCAGTTCGACTCCTTCCTGGAGTCCACGCGGACGTACCTGGGCATGGAGAGCTTCGACGACGTGCTGAACCTTTGCGACACCTCCACCCGCTACGCCTTCCTCCAGTCCAACAAGCAGTTCCTGCAGATGAAGCAGAGCCTTTCCAAAGTGGACGGCGGGTGGGTCAGGCGGAAACCGGCCAAAGTCCAGGAAAGGGACTTCTCGGTGGAATATCTCGTGGTGGGCAACAGGAGCCCCAGCAAAGCCGCTTGCCAGATGTTGTGCAAGTGGCTGGATACTTGCCTGGCCACCAGCAGCAGCTCCCATCCGTGTGGCATCATGCAGACCCCGTGTTCTTGCTTCAGCGGCGAGGCGTTGGACCAACCCAGCGAGATCCTTGGCTTAACCAAAAAGCAGGACGATTGTTTCAAGGATGGGATTTACTTGGAGAATTGCATGGGTTCTACCAAGGACACCAGCGGGCTGGATTTCTTGGGTAAGTAGGGGATGCTTTGATGGAAGGTTCCCCCGTGTAATGTTTGCCTGACTGGATGATGAGATACGACGTCTTCTCTTTTAAGCTGTTACGGTGTGCCAACACAACTAAGCTTATCGCCCAAGTTAACTTGCTTTGATTTAAACCAGTTATGACCAGCAACGTAGAATTGTTGGATTTATGTTTACAGACAAAGAAATAAAGGAAAAGTAAGGTGAAGGTTCCCCTTGCACACATGTGCTATCATTCCCGACTCTTCTCTTCTCTTCTCCTATTCCATTCCATTCCATATCTCTTCTCTTCTCTTCTCTCCTCCTCTCCTCCTCTCCTCTCTTCTCCCATTCCATTCCATTCCATATCTTCTCTCCTCTCCTATTCCATTCCATATTTTCTCTTCTCTTCTCTTCTCCTCTCCCATTCCATTCCATATCTCTTCTCTTCTCTTCTCTCCTCCTCTCCTCTCCTCTCCTCTCCTCTCCTCCTCTCCTCTCTTCTCCCATTCCATTCCATATCTTCTCTCCTCTCCTATTCCATTCCATATTTTCTCTTCCCTTCTCCCCCCCATTCCATTCCATATTTTATTTTCTCTCCTCTTCTATTCCATTCCATTCCATATTTTCTTTCCTCTCCTATTCCATTCCACTCCATTCCATATTTTCTCTTCTCTTTTCTTCTCCTCTCCCATTCCATTCCATTCCATATTTTCTCTTCTCTTCTCTTCTCCCATTCCATTCTATTCCATTCCATATTTTCTTTCCTCTCCTCTCTTATTCCATTCCATTCCATTCCCTATCTTCTCTCCTCTCCTATTCTATTCCACTCTATTCCATATTTTCTCTTCTCTTCTCCTCCTCTCCTCTCCTCATACTCCATTCCATTCCACTCCATTCCATATCTCTTCTCTTCTCTTCTCTCCTCTTCTCTCCTCTTCTCTCCTCTTCTCTCCTCTTCTCTTCTCTTCTCTTCTCTTCTCCTCTCCTTTCCTCTCCCATTCCATTCCATTCCATTCCATTCCATATTTTCTCTCATCTCATCTCTTATTCCCTTCCATTCCATATTTTCTCTTCTCTTTTCCTCTCCTCTCCTCTCCCATTCCCTTCCATTCCATATTTTCTCTTCTCTCATCTCTTATTCCATTCCATTCCATTCCATTCCATATTTTCTCTTCTCTTCTCTTCTCTTCTCTTCTCTTCTCTTCTCTTC